ATTGGACTGACAAGATATGCTGCACCTTGTGTTTGTTTTAGCTGTAATAAGAAGCAAAGAAATATTTATTATAAACATTATTAACCCAGACTGCAACTTCACCTCATCTGTCAAAAAGAGTCTTTAACAATAATTTTTTTTTTTTTTCTTAACCACACTGTCTGTGGACAGAGGGTGGATACCCTACAGATTGTTGAGATTGTTTGTGATTTTGAGCTATATAAATAAAACTGTACAATTAAAGGAATTTTATTTTAGATTAAATAAATATAAATAAACTTGAATTTACTTGATTAATATTAAAAAGGTGTGAGGTTGCCATGTTTTCACTGTCTTTATTTGGGAACTGCTGAAATACTCAAACTAGAGCGACATACTTATTGACTTATAATTTTAGTTTCTCATTTATATGTTCTGATACATCAAGAAAAATGCCAGCACACATTATCTTGCATATTTATTTAGTTATCTTACATATAGATATAGACCACATCAGAGTTAAAATGACAGCTTCACAGCGGAATAAATTAACCAAACAAGTAAACACACCAGAATTCCTATGAAGTACACTCAACAGGTTAGGTGTGAAAGCATCCCAAACTGGTACAGATAATGGTCAAAACAAAGGAAACACACACTTTCCAGTTTCACTTTCCAGATTTATTCATCTGGATCACCTGACCAGGAAAAGGTGGTGACATTTCCTTTGTTTACAGCGTGATGTTGTTCTCTAGATGTGATCAAAACAACCCAGTGTTGGGGACTTGTGGACGCTGACATATGGTGAACCACCACGTGAGAAGCGGAGAAGGGTGCAAAGGTTTAAGGTGCTCTTATTTCTGTGTATATTTACACTCAAACCACTAGACGCCACTATCAAGAGTTGTAGTTTGATGAGTCAGGTGTGCTGTGATTGGCAGGCTCATGGCATGTGGGCAGGTTAGATTTCAGATGCACTTCATGCGGAAAATGTCAGGAGGTCACACCTCTGTACTAGAGTACACGATGTTCTTTAAAAAGGGGCTGGGGTTGTTGAGAGAGACTGCAATAAGACCTGGCATATTGGCTGAGGTCATAAATTTGGACTGAACAAGCAGAGTGCCTAGATAAGCACGAGGGAAGGTTCTTGCTGAGAAAACCAAGTCAGGAAAAGTCATTTTCAGCAGTTGGGATCATAACAAAACAAAGATGATTTGATCAGTGGCTAAAGAGGATTACATTTACAGTCCTCAGTCCCATCAACACTTAATGTATGCCTCTCAGTTCCCACGTTATGGGGGGGAGGGGTGCAACAGATCAGATGTCAGGATGTAGGTACCTGTGTGTTTAGGCCTTTACACATTTAAGGAATAAAATAAACTGCCAGACAGGAGAAGCTATTTTTACAGCACATAGAGAAATGTCATGACATAACTGGCTCCTTCATATCAAGAAAAACAGATGAAGTGCAAAACTTCATGAAAGAATTCCAAAATGTAGGTAGCTTTTTAAGCTGTGGCGTGGCGATGGTACAGTGGTTAGGACACATGCTTTTGGTGTGAGATTCCTACTGTGACACATCTACCATTGCGTTCTTGAACAAGATACTTAACCCCTCATTGCTCCAGAGGCGTGTGACCTCTGACATATATAGCAATTGTAAGTCGCTTTGGATAAAGGTGTCAGCTAAATGAATAAATGTGATGTGAATGTAAGCCTACTTGTGGGCTGCCATGCTTCACACAATCGTGTAAATGTTTCACTTTTGTTATGTCACTATAATAGAGTGAGAAAATCTCATTTAAAACCAAAAGATGTTGCTGACAATTACAGAAAAAACAAAAACAAAAAAAACCTTCCTTCCCAAGAATATCTTACACATCTTACACAAGCTCCAACAGTTCCAAGTCAGCCTCGACACATACTGATCAACACATCCACCTGTCTGCTCTACTGACCTCCTCGCCCTCCCGCCGTTGGACGGGTTCATTCATGTCCTCTTGGCTGCGGACGCTGAAGTTCTGGATCGCCTCAGTGACACCTTTCAGTGAACTGTAGATGTCCTCCGAGTTCATGTTCTCTGTGTCGTAGTCAAATGCACTGCACATAAACGAGATGAGAAAAAGGGACACTGAGCCAGGTCTGCACAATTACAGCTGAAGTGAGTAATCAAACTGTCCTGCTAAATACTGTCCCCCCCCCCCCCAAGTATGATATGTGTTTCATATGGTATTCCTACTATTCTTAGAATAAATCTGACTGAAATACGTGTAAGAGTGGAAACAATCAAAAATAAAACTACAAAACAGTATTGATATCTAAATTACTGTGCATATTTTTTTTACATTCTTAACTAGATATAAAAGGAAGAAGCAGCCCAGAGTCATTCTGTCTCTAATGTGGTTTACTTGATATAAACGTCTGTAGACTTTACTCTTTTCTACTGCTCTCTGTCCTCTGCTCTTGCTAATATGTAAACGATTGTTAGATGGATTTTCCATTTTTATGAATTGTGCTAAGTAGAGGTGTAAAGCTTGTGTGTGTGTGTGTTACCTTGGTGAGGGGGTATTCTGGGAGGTGTTGGTGGGGGAAGTGACCGGGCTGGACCAGCTGGCTGGAGATCTAGGGGTGTGGCGCGTAAGAGGGCTGCCCATTGGTGCCTAAGGACAGGATAAAAACAATACAATAAAAAAGTTATGTTAGAAAGAAGTATGCTATTAAAATTTTGGTTTAATGATTGACAACTATAGCAATATAGTAATGTGCGTGTCTGAAATACTCCTTCCCCCTCGTGTGAACTGACCAGTAGTGTGTGTGTGTGTGTGTGTGTGTGTGTGTGTGTGTGTGTGTGTGTGTGTGTGTGTGTGTGTGTGTGTGTGTGTGTGTGTACCTGTGCAACATTGCCAGTGTTCTTCAGATGGTTTTGAAGCAGCTTGGTGGCTCCGTCCTGAAAGGTTTTGGGCAGAGCTGCCAGCAGCATGGTGAACTCTGGAGTGTTGAGCTGGAACAACGAGATTAGCACAGACTGGGCTGCCTGTAAAAAACAAAATACTATTGGTTAGAAAGACTTTTGAAAGACATTCCACTGACTTTCCTGCATTTGTGTGTATTAGTAAATCAAAGGGTTCTTTCCAATAACAGGAGAATCAACTGTAGGAATAAAGTATGTTCATCTCCAAACTATCAGGTTTGTGTGTCAGTACTTTTCTGACGTCAGAGCTCTTGGGTTCAGTTGTCCAGGTGATGATGCGGGAGACGGCCAGCCGAGTCTCACTGGAGTTCACGAAGTCTGGAGCTTCCATCTGTATCGCCAGAGTCTCAATATACTTCAGAATGGCCACCTTCACCTGCAACACACATTTATAAAAATCATCAGTATGTTGGGTGAAAACAAAGACACAGCATGGCCAATATTCACCCGAAAAAACACAAATACAGTCATAGCAAAACTTCAAACACAAGCCTGAAAAAGTGACCACACACGTCAGCATGTACAACCACGGCAGACTGTGCAACTCTTGCAGGTCTGAAAATCGAATGATCTGATGAATCAGTTAGAGAAGATCAAAGTGCATTCAAGGTCATGCTTTAGGAAAACAAAATCAATCAAAAAGAAAAGCAAATGACAGATGACAAAAACCAAAGGAACTATTTAATGCAAACATTCACCGCTGGCTCCAAAACGCCACAACAACTGACTCCTGCCCTGATTTTCCTCCATCTCTCTCCCCTTCTCCGTCTCTCTACATTATGCACCTCAAGGACCAGAATTTCCTCCAAATCACTTAGCAGCACCGTGCGCGCCATATAATTGCTCCCCCCGGAGCGCACTGACCTGGGAGGACTGGCTCCAGGCTGCGGCCTGCTCGTCTAGAGAGCAGGCATGGCGCCGCGCTCTGGGGGGGAACAATTTTACCCCGGACCCTCCCCTGCCTCGCCCACAACACGAGCTCCGTACAGGCTTCAGAGAGAGAGAGGAGAAGCACCGCGTCAATCAGACAGAAAGGGAGACAGGGACAGGGAAGGGCAGGGAGAGACAAGAGAGGAAACGGAAGAGGAAGGAGGAGGGAGCAGAGAGTATAAGAGGAGTAAAAAGATTGGAAGGTAGGCTTGGGCGTCATTTAAATTTTACAATATTCTGAAAATCTGGTAGTACACACTGTAATTGTCATATGATGGCAGCAAAGAGCTGTGATGCCAAATTAACCAACATGAATCAGTGAGTTATGAAGCTTCATGCAACTGTTCAAAGCAGCTTTACATATTTATACTGTCTCATGGTATATATCGTCACATTGCCCTACCCTAGCCTGTGATGTGAGCTGTGAGGTCCTGAACAGAGAATTTAAAATCATTTTTCTTCAGGCCACACAGCAAGTCCACTTCCTACTGCATGTCAAATGAAGGGTGAGTAAATTTATATTTGGGGCAGGAGGGTGAAATTTTGGTGATGACAATATCTTTCATTCCCAAGCCTACCTGGAAGGCAAAGGAAGAGGGAGACTGACAGGAATGAAAAAGTGGTGAGAATGTGGTGAAACATCAGGCAGGAAAAGGTGTGGGAGGGGGCAGAGTGAGAGAGAAATAAAGAGGTAATGAGGACGAGGAGTGAGGGATGAAGAAGCAGAAATTGCTTGTCAACCGTCGTAAGGACAGTTGGGAGAGGTGATACTGGTGAGGCAAGAAGTTGCTTTAACAGAAGGATTAGTGAGAGAGAGGAAAGTACAAGACAATGGATAAGGAGGAGTGTCCACATCAATGGCTATCCAATCACAGCCCAGGATTCAGGGTTTTTTTGTTTGTATTTTTTGAGAGGCAGCACCAGCATGGGCAGGTACGAGGTCATATCAGTACAGCAGTTACCATGGTTACACAGTTCCCTAGTTTCAAGCCTCATGTCCATCCTCCCCTCCCGTATGCAGACCTTCACACAGGCAGCTCTCTTTCTCGTGGACACACACACACAAACTATTTACCTTGAGGTTGGGTGTCTGTGTCTGGTCCACAGTGAATCGCATGAGAATAGTAAACTGGAGGTCGTTGGGGAAAGACTCTCTGTCAGAGAAGAAAGAAATTCAAATTAAACCTCCAGTACACACAGAAACACATCTAGAGTAAAAGGATCTCGACAGGTTAAGATAAATGAGTGTATAACTACAAAAGTCAGAGGTAAAAGGATGTCTTGTGTTCCTTTCTCTTGCTAAAACCACCATTTGTGTATGTACGAAAACACGAGAGAAAAGGAAGCATCGGGCCTCGTGCAAGAACATTTTTGTATTTTTATCTTAACTGCCTCATGCTTTTTTTCGTTTGTATAACTGTAAATGACGTGTAAACATGATGAGTGCCTTCTGTGGGTAAATGAGCACGTATTCATGAGAATTGTAAATTAGCATAATACCGTATAAGGCTGCGCGAGTTTGGAGACTGAAGTCCTGCGGACATCCTTAAAGGAAAGTATATCCTTTAACAGTGTCAGCAGTGGAGTTGGGTGAAAATGGTTGTATTCGTGTGTCTGTCTGCAGAGTTACAGCTCTAAAAAGTTTCACATTTGCAGAAGCACAGCCCGATGTAAACTAAACCACGACAACAACAACCATTAATCTGTCTCTGCCATATATCAGCTTGCTGTCACTCTATTTCAAGGGCCCAATGCGCTAATCCAAAGATTACACTGCTAGCTGACCTTATTATATTCAGAGACAAATTAAACAGTGCATCATCTAAGTTGTTTTGCAGTGCGAGATGTTCATATTGATAATGTGGCGTTATAGCATTAATAACCAATTCAAATGAATGATTATATTGTTATGTAGGTTATTACGCCCCATCGTTATTAGGTTATATGAATACATTTAGAATTATATTTTAATTCAAACTCCAGAGTCAAACTGGACAATGTCAACATAATTTATGAAGTGTAATTTATAGGATTGCTTCAAAATTACATTCCATTAGTGAAAATATAGGTAGGGAAAACAGCTGACTAATTCCACTTGACTCCTGCTTCAGGACTGGACCAAATTGTGTTCTTACCCAAGAGAAAATTCTAAATACAAGAAAACTGGTGAAAGTTCTCCAAAATCACTTGTACAAGCCACTTCTGTCAAATCTGTTTATATGAGTGGTTCTTGCATGAGGCCCAATGATCCTCAGAGGCCTATCTATTCTTTTATATGTAAACAAATAATCTAAGAGCAAACTAGCATTTAAGAGCTTTCAAAAACATCTCAAAGGCTTCTTGAGATGTGACTGAGAGCTTTGAAAAGCTGACCTTGGAGCTTAAATAATGTTGTTACACTTACTATTCCCAAAGGCCAAGAGTGAACTTTCACGCTCAAATATAATTTTACTACATACTTATATTTATACTTATGTTACCCATGGGTCAACAACCTACATGCCCTAATGTCAGTCTATATAGCGTGACACCTACCGTGTGACATCCAGGGCTCTCTGAACTTTGGCCTGTACGGAGCCCAGCAGGTCAGCTCCCATCTTCTTCAACAGCTGTGTGAGCAGGACGAACAACCAGTCCTGCAGATCCTCCTTATGGACATGGATGAAATCTACCAGTGTCTCCAGGAACATGCTGAACACCTACACACACACACACAGTTTGGGTCAGACTCAGTCATTCACTCAACAATTCATGTTTCATGCACACATGCAAGTAGTCATGTATTTAGAGGATAAAGTTATAGCATCATGTGAGAGTAGCATTAGTTCCCATTGTGAAGTTAGTGGTTATTATCATTGCAGCAGCCCACCTTCATTCCCAATCACCAGTTAAACTTAAATCACCCAAATTAATAATAATCATATTAATATTAGAAGACAACCACAATGAGACAGTTAATTACTTGACAAGAATTAACACCAATCAGACTGCATGGTGACCGTCTCTACATGCCAGTGGTTGATTTCAGCAGGACAGTATCGTTACAGGCAACATTATGTGAGGAGGGTTAGTGACTGTTACGTTGTTGCCCTGATAAAGGGTTATCCAATCAGATGAATCTATCCAAACACAATGTACAAGCACAGTAACACTGATTGGCCAAACTTACTCTCTACAGAGAGTTCCAGAGGGTGGCATGGGGGAGAGAGAGACACATCTGTTAGCATCCTGACAGAGAACACCCAAGTGTTCGTTCAACAATCTTGACTTTCAATCCAACATTTGCAAAATGGACAAAAAAAGACCAACAACATCTTGAAAAAACGTGAAGTGATGTTTTGTGCACACTAGGAAAAAAAACTGAGAACTGAAAGATATCTTGAAAACATGGGAGATGAGAAAGAAGAAGTGGGGATAGAGAGATGAAGGCAGAATCCACGGTGAGATGCAGTACCTTGAAAGAGGCTGAGCTTATACTGGATTCTGCTGTGCCGTACACCCTGCCGGAGTCTCGCTGAAATTCATCAAATCGTCAAATGTCAAACGAGGGGAAAAGGGTGGGGGGGGGGCTCACACACCTTACGACATGTGTGAGGCAACGGGCACTCAAAAATGCCGAAAGAAAAGTGTCAGTGTTAGAGAGGGCGAACCGCAGCTGGTTAGACGGAGACAGGAGCTGCCAGCCCAAACATGTGCTTGTATATTCACGTGCGTCTGAGTGTGTGTGCGGTCAGTGTCGTCGCTGCAGACTGCAGGGAGGGGCGGAAGAGAGGGAGTGGCAGTGAATGCAGTGAGCACAGCATTTGGCTGATGAACAGAGATAGAGGAACACCACAGGACAGCGGAGAGTGTGAGGTCACACGCAGGCATGGCATGCCATTAGAAAACTGTCGCACACTCTGCATGCCTGTGTTTATGTTTGAGTGTGTATATCCGTGTGTGTACATCGGAGAACAGGTTTTGACCCGTTTATCATGTCTTTATCTCTAAACGTATTCAAATACTTTATTTAACATACTGACTCCTAAAATGTGTCTGTGTGAATTAACAAGCAGGGCATTGTCTTTGTTTTGGCAGAATCCGGTACAGTGAAGGATGGCGGGATAAACAAAGTATGGGGAACCAAAATAGAAATCAAGTGGGTGAATCATGGATCTATTTGAAATGATATTGTAAATGAGTGCTGTGCGTCTTTGTGTGAGCACTTGCGCTTCATGCATTCATACCTTACTGTGAGGGTCAGCAAACATCCTGGTGAAGATTTCACACAGCCTCTTCAACTCCACCCGACTGCACATCAAAACAACAAAATAACACAGTTGGTGAAAATCAACAATCATTTTATCTCTTGGAAAACACATTTGCCTGTTCTGCTGCTGACCTGAGGGTGCGTTGGTTCTTGAGCAGCGCCTGAAGGCCCAGCAGCCCTCCTTCCTCTCTGACCAATTGGCACTGGCACAGCGGTTCAGCACCTGACAGGAACCACAAAAAGGCCTGTTGAGACTTCTATACAGCGGGAAGTAATGATATTAAGAAAAGTTGAGCTTGATACTGAGGTGAATGGTTTCCTGGTTTTTCAGATTTAGAGGATAGAAACATTTACATCAGAACAAGTGTGGAACTGAACTCCAATATCAAAGACTGTATGAATCTCAGTGATCCAGTTCCTTCACTAATGGCACAGATTTCCTCACTGCATAGTTGCAGTGCCCCAAATCAAAACCAAATTTCCCTGAACTGTTACCAGACTTGTGTGTTTATTAGGGATGGGGATTGTTCATTTTTATTGACACTGATACCCTTATTGAGACTGCTTAATGATCCGATTCTTTATTGATACTTTACTATTATTTGGTGACGGTTATTTGGCAAGAGCAGACCCAACGGGCATGAGGTGGGCCTGCACGGTATGAGAAAAATATTCAATGTGCGATAACATTGTTTGAAATGACATATGACTTGCAATAAATAAACACATAATGAAGTGTGCATATTAACGCTAACCTCGGCTACGTCTTCTGTCTGTCTCATGTACGTGGGGATGGCTCCTCCGTTCCTGGAGCTGTAGGATCTCTCCGAACAGGCGCTTGATGCATCACTATTAGCGTCATCATCAGAGTACATGCTGTAGTTCTCGTACCGCCGCCGTGCTGGCTTCTTCTGTAGGTGAAGGACAGGAGAAGTGGAAAGGACATGAAATTAAAATGAAAGTTAAGACAGAGTAATAACAAGGCACAGGCAGAAAACATGCTCACTCACACACCTAGCTTGACGGAACACAACACAGCTAAACGCACACACACACACACACACAGGACACACAGGTAAGAAGCGGGGGAAGAAGCTGACCTTGGACCGCATGTCTCCCAACAGCTGACAGCATTAAACAGAGGTAGAACCAGGGTTAGTTAACACACACACACTCCAGGAGGTGTGCGCTGCATATGGTGACAGCTTACTGAAATGTGCAAAGAGTGGTTATGCGTTTTTTTATGTATATGTGTTGGGGGTGTATGCGTTTTCATACCAGTGCATCTGCGAGAGCCTCTTCTACGTCGGAGCCCGTGTTGAGGACCCTCATGGCACTGACTGAGGAAGAGAGACGACTGGACTGACTGATGCCAAAACCTGATCCTGTAGAGAGTCAGACGGAGTGGGAGGAAGAGGGACAGCAGTTAGACTTGAGACCTGAAATTGCTAACCCCATTCTCTCACTCATCGAGGTGGTTCTCATTGTCCACTGATGATCCAGTCATCCTCCATCTTTCTCCTCATCATCCATTCTCTGACATTTCTCAAACCACACACACACGCTACATTTCCTTTCATGAGTCGAGCCTGTAAGTCGATATGATGACTTGTTAGGTGACACTGCAGGTGCCACTGGGGGAGAAAGAATGATCGACAGAAAACACAGGTGTGTGTGTTGGTGTTTCTGCAGAGAGGGGCAAGGGCAAATAAAGAAAACAAATGGTAAAACTGGCAGAATGGCTGTCAACTGAACAGGCGGAAACATGCGATTCCACTGGAGGGTGTCGACATCCTGGAGCTGAAGGTAAAAAACAAACAAAAAAAAACTGAGGCTGATGGACAAGAAAAGAAACAGGATGACACATAATACAGGAGAAGATGCGTGGCACAAGAGAGAACAATAAAAAAAAAAAAAAAAAAAAAAACGGCGCGAACAGAAATTGAGGCGAAGTGGGTGGGTGAGGTACGGAAATAGATGTACTCAGCCTTCACCTGCTGCCCCAAAAGTATCAGGTGTGTGGAGAGCTCCGGTGGAGCGAGAGTAGCTCCGCGTTGCTGCAACCAAGATTAAAAACACAGAGTTTAACACTCGCGCGAGCACGCACACGCACACACACATACACACACACACACACACACACAAAACCCTAGAGTAGAAAGAAAGGATGAAAAACATGCAAGTGATTTCTTTTTCTTTTTTTTTATTCACCCTCAACTTTCTAAACGATTGACATTTTAATGTTTTTAGTTTAAATCAGACACTGAATTAAAAAAAGCCTACAGTACTTTGGTTTGAGCTAACTTTAAGAAAAGAAAGGTTTCTCTTCTCCTTTGATGTCTTATCGTCTCATCCCCCTGTGTATCTGTCCACTACTGCTACTCACCAAGGGGCGTGAAGGAGCGTACAGGGCTGGTGTCCCGGCTGCTCTCCCTGCTGGCCTCTCTGCTGCAGCCCTGACTCATACTGGGCCGAGGGATACGACTGCCCCGAGCTAACGGTGCCGGTTACAACACCGCACCGAAAAGATGAGGGGGACACGGGGGAAGGAAGAGCAGCGGAGGGAAGAAAAGTGGTAGGTAAGAACACAAAGGAGAAGGGACATGAAGACGACAACAAAAAGACAAAAGAAGAAAGACAAACATGAGTAGTGACAAAGAAGAGAGGGGAAGGAACATGGATAAAGACATAAATAAGACAAACGTGGAAAAAGGCAAAAGTGACAAACTGACAGGAACAACAAAGAATATGAGGACAGGTCTACTGGCCCTGAGGGAGCATCTCAACAGCAACAACAAGAAGTCACCTCAGAGGACTGAGATTAGGACTGCAACTAAATTATTTTCATGAACAATTAGCAATTGGAGCAATTATAGTCTTGATTAGGGCGGCAACTAGAGATCATCGTCATTATTGATGATCAATCGATTAGCTTTATGGTTTACAGTGTAGTCATTTGGTCTATAAAATAGTCCTCAAATGTCCTGTTTTGTCCGTCAAACAGAACAAAATCCAACGATATTCAGTTTACAATGATAGTAAATAATAAAATGGGAGAGGCTAGAATTAGAAAATGTTTGGCATTTGTTTATCAGATTACTTAAAGGTGACCTAATATGCTTTTCAATATTTTCTATCATATCTATAATGTTACAATGTCAGAAGTTCATGTTAAACATGGCCAAAGCTTCAAATAATGAGGTAAACATAGTCACATAACTACAATATAGGGCTGGAAATGTGGTAGAATAGGTCACCTTTAAATGATGAATCACTGAAATAGAAGGAGATAAACTGACTAATCGTTTCAGCTGGTTCATCAAAAGTTTTCCAAAGAGCCCTAGGTGAAGTCATTGCCTGATTTGTGCAAAATATGAGTTTACTACCAAAGTTCACAGCAAAAATTCACATTTTAGAAGCTGGAACCTGTGAATTTTGGGCATATTAGCTTAAAACAAACAAATTTCGATGAACAATTACATCAATTATCCGAATTGCTGCACATTAATTTACTCTTGATCGACTAATTGTGTCAGCTCCAGATGAGATGCACCTAAAAGAAGCACAGGACTGCTGGACTCAAACGGTCCAATAATCACAAACACTCAGGCGATCTCCCTGTGTCTCACACACAAACACACAGAATAGAAAAGGAAGCGATATGAGATGAGTATAGCGATCGAGGGGGGTGAGCGAGGGGAGAATCTGCGTTTTTCATCCAGTAGCATCGCAATCATCTTGTATTGCTTTGTTCATCAGCTTCAGCATCTACCCAGCCAATCAGGGTTAATCAGCCTACCAAAGGGTTACAATGCCCTGATGATGCTTCGCTGATCCTGCTAGGAGGTTCATTCGCTGGTTAGTAAAGAGAGGGAGGAGGTACGTTTATAATGCGTGGACATCTGCTGATCACAGGCACCCATCACCACAACAACACAGCCATAAAGCCAGAGACAGGTTAGAGGGACGGGTTCTATGATGCTCAGGCGGTGAGCAACAGCTTGATGGAGGGGTGGGGAAGATGGGGGAGATTGTGAGATTTGTTGTGATGGATAGAGATTTAGAATGATTTTAAGATGAGGATGAGAATAGACTGAGGTAAAGAGATGGACAGCAGGATGGTCTGGGTCGAGGTCTGAGCCTTACCTCCTCGGCTCGCTCCGTTGTAGATGGAACTAATGCTGGAAGGAGCTAGACGACAGAAGCAGCAGGGGCAGGTAGAGAAGGACAGGGAGAAGAACAGAGGAGGAAAAGGTAGAGACGGAGCAGGAGGGGGAGAAAAGTTCAGCTGAGATCCAAAATACATGGACGACTGGCTGTAGTGTGTGACGTTTGTAAGATATCACTGAGTGTCTAAATCATTGGCAAGCTGCGTTTTTAAAAACAAAACCTTTGAGTAGTTGTAAAAAATAAAATAAAATACACGTAGCAGAAAGACAAATATATTAAGGATGAACTTTCATTATTCAGTTGAAATGAATGAAATATAAACAAGGCTTCCCGTTATGAAACTATAATGGTTTACTTACCAACAGACAGGCGGGTGGGGGAGGAGTCTCTGGAGCAGCCCTGGCTGCGGGGGATGCGGCTGCGTCTGTGTCCATCCCCAGCCAGCACCCTGTGGGCCCCTGAGCTCATGGTGCTCAGGGCCGTACTCGTCAGTACACGACCGGGGAGCCGCTCCGACTGCCAGCTTCAGAGAGACGCAGAGACGGAAGAGGACAAATATAAAGTAAAAATCAGAGTCTTACCCAGGCAACACATGGCATTTTAACAGTTAAAGTTACAGAGAAACTTAACGAATCCTCCTTTAAAGTAAGGATCTTATTTTTAAAAATGGCAACTACCTCTGTACATATATACTGACAAAGACAGCTGCTACTGCCCTCCACTTAGTGGCACTAGTCTCCAAGCATGTTTTGGCAAATGTCTTAACATACAGTATGAACATCAAAAATAGAAGGAACTAAATGGCAAACAGTGTTGGATGTCATTGGAAAGAGGATTCTTTGGGCTAGGAGAGTTGAAACCCACACCAAGAGAAGTGCATTTTAATCTAAACAATGCCTTTTTTGGAAGTGTAATAAAAACAAAATAAATACAACATATTAAAACTGACAACATGACAATTTTAGAGACAACGCTCCTGTCTTTTGGAAGATACAGGAGAATACAATGAAAATATGATAAGAAAGGTCTATATTTCTCCTCCCATGACATCCTGTCTCCAAATGCAAAACCCACAGTGTGTGTCAAACTCTACAATGACTCACATTTCTATCAACCTGAAGACAAACAGTTGAGGAGAAGCTGCTCTGCAGTGCTGAATATGAAGTGCAAGAACAGGCTTTTGGGGAACAAGCTCCATGAAGCTGGACTGTGACTGATTTCAACATGACTGAAAATGAGCACGTAGACCAGACTCACTCACTCTCTCTCTCTCTCTCACACACAAAAAGCCAACTAAAGCCACACACACAAAGTCTGTTTCTAGGTACGACTACCTAGTGACACAGAGCTAATTAAATACATCTAAATGACAGGAAAAAAGCTAAATAGGGATTGTTGTGGTATCTTCTGTGGTAATCTTGAGTTCCACTTATAACTTAGACTATGGTTGTTGCTGATACTTTTAATCAAGTAAAGACAAAAAAGTATATAAGTGGAACTACTCTGACCTCTTGAGAGTATTTCTAGTATTTCTTGTCATCTCTCCCTCCTTTCTTCCCTTATCTCCTTATATTTATGGATACACAAAGCTATTGTTGATTCTACAAATGGCTGTGAGGGTTAGAAAAACTTTTTTGTTTTACAAACTGTTGCTAAGATGATCAGAACGATTTGCTTGGGATCTAAAAATAAAAGATTTTGGAAAAATTAATTCCACTAGATAAAGGCTGTCTTTTTACAGGTGACAAAACATCGTCTTCTCAATCTTTAGGCTACATCCAGGCACACATGTGAGTGCAGAAACACAAGCTCCCAAGCAGTGTGATTAGCATGATCATAGAACAGCCACATTAACGGTCTGTGACTACAAATCCCAGCATGCCTCAGCTCGAGTGAGAGGAGCCTTAAGTGACCTTTCTGAGTGCACGTGAAGGAGGGAGAAGTCAGTGCAACAGAGGAAGGCAGTAAAGATAAAGAGAGCGGGTAAAAAAAAAAGAAGCGTTGTAATCTTACCACCAACAGGGTTAGCAGACTGAGATCCTGAGCCATTAAGCCATTGGTTGGGAGGAGGGGGAAGCAGAGGCGAGGGGGAAGGAATAGCAGATTAAACCAGATGAATTATGAGTGTTAGCGCAAAAAAATGGGAGTCAGAACAAGAGTACGATGGGAGCGCATCCTGGTGTTCCATATAAAGAATGAAGACGAGGCTGAAGCAAATCCATGTATTGAAGAGAAACAACTATTTGAACATGTGTTGCTAAAAACAAACACACACACTGGACCAGCTGCAGATGAGAGCCTGGGAAAGCATGTGCATGTTGGGAACAGCTGGCATACGTACAAAGCCAGTTCACAATGAGGAAAAGAAAATGCCTCAAAGTAAATATGCTTAACAATATCCATACACTCAATCTCTCTCACCACGCACACACACACAAATATTTCTCAGCCTCTGTTTCAGCTGCCATTTCCTCTGTTTCTGTTAGTCTGTTGTTCTGAGATTTAGTTCTTTATATCTAGATGTCCAGATATGATTGGTGCACTGGGCTTAGGTCCAATCACTGTTCAGCACAAAAGCACATCACGCAATAATAGCGGCTTGAGTTCCTTCATGAAGTTTTTTTAATGACCTAAAATGACAGCCAGAGCCAGGCTAGAGCAGCCGAAATAACTGTCCACCACACATCCTCAGTGATGAGACACAGCATGCACAGGAAAACACACCCC